CAAGAATTATCGCAAGAGATTACATTATATAAAACTTGCTAATTGCTTTCTCGATTTCTGCACACTCAGGCATATCTCTTGCTTGAGTAAATTATATACACAATCACTGTCAATCTAAACTCGTGAAATGGCCTCTAGCTAGAGACCATGTAGTTTCAACAACATATGTGTTTAAATAAATCATAAAACTACCAAACTAATTATGCCATCAACAATTAGAAACTAACTTTTGCCCAGCATATATTCTAGAATACAAATAATATCATAATAATGTTTTATTTATTCCTTTTTGGATAATTTTATTAGCTATATTAAATAAGAGAAAATAGTAAAATTCATTCAAATATATAAAAGAACATTACATTTCTCTTATCTCTTTAATTGCGGTAAAGATGCATTTAATAAAAAAAAAATCAATCATTACATAATCATGATGTAAATAAAGGCATGCTAATTTACTTTAAAATATTTTTCTTTCTCAAAGAATCGGACATCAAAGAATCTTGTCGCTCCAATAGTAAAAATGGAATAACAAATGTTCTGTGTGTTTAAAAGAATTCTCACAAACTTTCAGACAGGAACTTCACCAAGTGAAAATTTTTCATGAGGAAATATCGTAGCTTGTATATGTGAGACTAGCGAAAGAAGTTTATTCACCGATATGTTTGAATCGATAAAAACATAAGAAATAGTTCGCTGGAACGGACAAGTATGAACAAATTTAAAAGTTGCTCTACGTCCCCGAACACGCTCCCACTCGATAGAAACTTTAGCGTTTATACCGACTCATGTCCCATAGAGTCCGATAAATATAATACAATGTTCATCCCCTTGGAGCACATCAGCTTATTATAGCGGATGACTCCGTTTCACGCTAACGAGCGACAGTAGCAAAGTTGGTACAGTGAAATATTCCTCATCGGCGTTAGTATAAGCCGCATTTGAAGCGGCCGCGCGGGAATAGGTATCGCAGTCGTAAAGCATCAGGAATTAAGACTGTCTCTGAGCGAGATTGTAACCCATTCTCCGAACAAAGTCACATCCTGACTAACATTTCTCAAAATTGCTTTCGATCGCCCTTCTCGTGACCTATCCCCTACTCGTGTCGTATAGAAAATAGAATTGGTATGCATCTTACAATTCAGTACTCTTTTCACATATTTATTTTCTTCTTCTGTACAAATGAAGGAATTGTGATTCTGCGGAAAAATATTGTTTTATCTACGAAATGCAGCAAACATGAGAAACGAACAATTTTTAGAGTAGCTTCTCGTAATTTTTGGCATTAAATTGGATTTGTGAATTTCGTATATATAAACATATTTTAAATATTAATAATTAAAAAGTATAAGTAATAAATATATTGCAGATCATTAGATAAATACAAGCTTCTAAAAAAATAAATCTTGGAGATTAATTTAAAAAATGTTTTCTGTAAATAAATATTTTTCTTGCGAAATACAAAAAACGCAAATCTCTAAGAAAAATACCAATATCAAAAACGTGTTATTATTTTTTTGCCATTCAAACGTTTTACGTTAATTAAAAAAATATATTAAAATGTTACACAATAGTTGCACCAGCTCGAAAGGCAGAAAATAATATGTCAATAAGCAAGAACTCAAAAAACAAAAAATAAATGTTAGATATTAAATAAAAATGTTTAATACATTAATTTTGTATATATTATATTTTTAACCAATATCAGCATCTGCTTTTTTTCTATTTATCTTTTTTATATGTAAAATATCATTAAAAACTAATAAAAAATAATATATTTAATAGATTTTAATTTAATATTTAATATTTAATAGTTATTAATATTTTTATAATTAAAATATTGTTAGATTAAAGATTATCAATATACGAATAATACTTATTTATAGAAATAAGAAATTAAAAGATTTCTACTTATCAAAACAAAATAAAGACAATGTAAACTATGTGAATGTTGATGAAATTACAGCGCAATAAGTGAAGCATAATTTAACAATATACAAACAATATTTTAATTTACGTTACTTGACTCAATCAAGTTCTTAAAAGTTTCAACTTAATTTTGAAACCATCCTTAAAAGTATTAATAAATTAGAGTCTCTTATTTTGAACACACGAAGGATGAACCACTTTTAAATTGTCAAATTCAAAAGTTGCATTGTACACTTCTCAATTAAGTAGCAAGAAGACGTCAAATTTCATAACATCTTAATGATGTTTTTAACATCAATGAGACATTATTAAAACGTCATCTTGCTACTTAGATCGTAATTCACTTATTAAAAAGTAAAAACGATACAACCGTTCATTGAGCTCAGAGAGCTGTTGCATCTGATTAGCATATTCCGTTAGATCCAAAAATATACGCTAAACAAATGCAAAAACTCACTGAGTACTTAATAAGCGATTGTAGTATTAAACGTATTTATTGTTATCGCTAATTGCTCGAAATTGAATCAAAATTCGAACTTGATCGATCCAAGTAATATTAATTAGAATATGTTTTACATTGCGTTCTATTCATTATAGACTATATTCTTATTAGATCTTAGTCTGTATTTTATTTATAAAAAAAAAGATAACTTGAATTAATCTTATCAATATGTACGACAGAATTATTTTTAAAGAAATTGTATAATAAGATATTTTTTCATTATTTTTATATTTTTAATTAGGATTAATTAAAATATTAATTTTAATTTTTATATAGGAAACAAAATGTTTATCGTAGCGCTATAAAATAGCGTTCAAAATTTGAATTATAACTTACACAAAATTAAATAAAAATAAACAAAATTTAAATTTAAAAAACAAGTTTTGACACTTAAAATCTTTATTTTCGAAAGGTCATTATATTTTTTGAGTTCCTGTGAGTTTAATAACTTTTACACACAAAATTAATTTTTTTGTAATGTTCTTAAGAACATTTTTATTAATGAGTTATTATAAATTAAATAAAAGGGGTATTTTTAATTTTGATCGTTCATAACCGCAATTCAAAAAACAGATTCTGAAACTTTACTGTATCGAATAATTAATTGCAACATTTTTTCAGGCCCACCCTATATATATTATATATATATATATGATAGATATAAGAAAATCATGTTAGAACTAAATTGATTTCGCGTTACTATTATAATACTATGATATAAATTAAACATTATCAGTTATTAAAAGTGAACTAACTCAACATCATAAAAAATCGTCAATATTATTACAAATCGAAAAAAATGATTTTTTAAAGATTATGAGACAAAAATGATATTTTTAAAGAATATATTGTGCTTACTTATATTATTTAATTAATCAATAATTTTTTACAAAGTTAAGAAACAGATTTCCTATTTTTTTGGAAAATTTAATTTTTATAGTTACGTCGCTTTTAAAGTAAGAAAGCAATATATTGTTATCACATATTATATTTTTATTACACATTAATATTTACTTAAATACATAATAAAGAAACTTACGCACTTTGAGCTTTTATGCGTATCTTTCAAATAAAGCACTCAAACTCTTTAACTCACATAATAATTTTGTTATTAATATAATGCTTCTAAATTTACGTTATTTGCACGTTTCATAACATGTATTAATAAATCATAATTAAATCGTAAAGTTGACTTCAATATGAAATAATGCTTTCAGCCAGTTAAAAAAAAAATGAAAATCTGTTTCTCTCATATAAGACTACATATTATATTGGAAGCCTGTTGCTTCTATGATATAATCGAACATTGACACGGAACTCGACCCTTGTCTACAAGCTAAACGACTGATGTTGGATTAAATTTGCACAAAGTTAAGAAGAGATAATAGATTCTTGTTACAATAAAGTATAGTTTGTACATATGTATAACTTGAAAACAAAAGATTGCAATTTATTCTCCACAAAAATAATTCAAATAGTACTTATAATAATATCAATGATTTCTACCGAGCCAATACGAACTATTACTTTAGCTAAAACAATGTTACGATATTTTTATCTTTTCGTAAAAAGATATAAAAAATATTTTAAAAATTAAGATCTTTAGTAGAAAAGATGCTTAAATATTTCTCTTATAACGCCTTAAGCAAATCTAAGCATTAAGATGTTGTGCTAGAAGACTACAGTTATATATTCTACTTGTGTAAGTTTCAAAAGTTGTTCTGATAAAATCCTTTGCATATAACTTATCTATCTTGCACTACTTAATTTTTTATTAATTTTATTATTTTTCTCCTTTTCCGATTTTCTTTAAAAAAGTTAATTTACATAGTAGATAATTAACTTTTTGTGATAGTTTCCTGTCTTAATAAACGTACATTTTGTAAAATTTATTACGTAGTAGCCAAAATATACACAACGGACAAAATCTACGAAAAGTAATGAAATTAAGGATCTTCTAAGAAAGTTAATATTAAATCCATCGACTATGAGACTATATATGAGAATATTCATTCACTTGACTGTATTTTACGAAACGTTTACTCTATTAGAATTTATTCAATATATGAAAATCTTTATCTCTGTAAGATTTTAAATTAATTCTGTTTAACGGAAATCAAAATCTGAAGGTTTTTATAATTCAGAAAATATAATTTCTTGTAATAAGAATAATTGCAGCTAAGCATAAGCATAAATAATTTAAAATTTTCTACGTATTTGTAATACAAAAGTAAACTTTTATTTGAAATAATTTTTATTTGAACAACTTCTATCTTTTTTTGAAAAGACATTTTTATTAATTTTATCTGTTTTTTCTAAAATATAAATTTCATTGATTTTATATGTGTATTATTTAAACTATTGTAACAGAAAGCACAATTTTTATATTTTTCTTCGGACTTTCTAAAAAAGTAATAAATTGAAAATCAAAATTTATGGAACAAAATTTATAAAAGAGATAAAGAGATATGTTAGTAATTGACTAATTTTAGTCATATTTTTTCAGAAATATTAGAATAATATCACTTAAGAAATATGTCCGTAAAATAAAAAAATTAAAACCACTCACCTTTTAGAAGTAAGATTGGAAGCGTTAAAAGATACGGTGATGTATGAGATCTCAGAAGAGTAAGCTTGACAATCAAAGTTCGATAATCCTCAGAATCCCAAGATGAGACCTACTCGATGTGGCGAATACCAGTCAACTGACTGAAACTAAAGCTCCGCGTGCTTGAAGTTACACGTAACGCCAGCGGCGCGGTGACGTCATGGGGCACAGAGACCAATCAGAGGACTGAGCTTGCGCCCCAAACAGGGATAGAACGGCCCCCACCGATCGGTTTAAGGGGAGCTTGCACCTGGACATGAACGGCGATTCGAACGACAATCGCCTGTTCTCCTTTTCTGCGCACAATCCCCCTTCCACCTTTTTGCATTTCCTCAACCGCATACTTCGCCTACGTGAAAAATGTTCAACCGTGACGTCGATGACGTGTCCTCGCTGGTGAATGGGCAGGTGGTATAAAACCGACCGCCGTTATTAAACGGATGGCACGATATCGTGTTCAATATGATGAGTTTACTTACTTCGCTGACCAACCCTGACCTCGTAGTTTACGCCTCAATTAGTGATTATCACCTTAACTTATCTTACAAAAAAGTATGGTTCAATCACTCGTTATTCTTTTGCAATTTAAACGAACGTGAAATAAAGATACATTTTGTATTTTCATTTTATATAATAAATTTCAATTAATATATATATTTAAAGCAATCGATTTATAAAAACATAATTTTATCCGAGAAAATATGTTATATATATGGGCATATGTTTTATATATTAGGTATTGGAATTAATTCGTAGCGTTTTACAAGTGATGGGAAGTACTTTCATTAATGTATTTTTTAATGCTCATGTGAAATAAATAACATTCTTTCATTAAAAAACGCTACGAATTAATTCCAACACCTAATATAATTATATATAATTTTGTATAATTCTATATAAATATATATAAAACATTTTTTCTCAGGTATACTTGTGTACTTCTTTCTTTCATATTTTCATATAAATTATTTGTCTTTTATAAGCCGAACAAAAAAAGAATAAAATAACATTTTTCATCTTTTTTGAATTGATACCTTCAGTATTAGCAACAGGAGAATTTTATTTGATCAGAAAGAGCTTATAAATTAATAATTTTGACTTCCAACTTTTCGCAAATTTATACTTTTAGAAATAAGAATAAGTACTTGAATACAGTACTATCTTCTTATGCTTATAGCAATTTAAAAATATATCGAAAAGCAGTAGGCATAAAATATAAGAAGACATCGTATAAAACGCGGCATAAAAACATAAGAAAACATATTTAGAATATACATATAATTTCACATTTCAATTTAATTAAAATTGAGAGAATAGATGTTATCATTAGGCAACCAAAAAATAAAACATCCCGTTTGAAATACAGTTTTAAATAAAAACATACATTTTTTTAAAATCCCTTTTTAAGCGCTTACAATATGTCCCATGAAATTGAAAAAAATGCTTTTAAAAAAGAAAATATGCTCTTAAAGAATTACCTCTCATTTAAAAATATTTTGTTAATACAATTTTTTAATACAGTTTTTATACAATTGAGCGATAATTACAATATACTGATTAATTTTATATTTTTTTAATATTAAAATTTAATTAAATTACCTATAATAATAAAATAAAATAATTTTAATAAAAATTGTTTATTTCATATCTTTAGTTTTATATTTATTAATTAATCTCATGGTGTTTAAAAACAAAAAGATAAAATTAAATAAATATACATTTAAAATTAAGCTAAAAATTTTAAATGTTTAAATATTGTAATTTATATTTTAATTACAATAAATGATAAACATTTTTTTTAAACAAAAAATTTGGCTCGTTCGATCGTAAAATATTTTTTATTTGTTGAAAAACGACTTAGTCAATAGAACTTACTAGATTAATTGTGTTAATTAAAATAGCAATATTTTCTGAATGTAATTGTATGCAATATTTTCTGTTGTAATTGTTTATAAGATTGTATAAGATTTTTCTAATCAAGGAAATTACTTCCAAAATAACAAAATATTATTTTTTTTGTGATAATATTGGTAATTTTTTCTTAATAATCGCTGCATTTTTATTTGTGCTGCAGCATTTTTATTTATAAATTATACTTGTTAAACATTTTGTTTTAAGTATTTTTGTTTACTATTATAGTAGAAAAAAACTAATTGCATAAATATAAATTACGATGTAAAATCAAAAAATAATTGAAATGTGTAAATATTGTGTATTGATGAAATATGCAAAAATATGAATTTATGAGTATTGTGTGCAAAAATATGCAATAACATGTAAAGCTTAAAATGCATAATTTCTTATTATTAAACAAATTTATATATATTTAATTTCTCTCTTAATCAAATAAAAATATGCTTTAGCATATTTTGATTAATCTAATATATATAAACAAACTTTTTGTCAAATATTATGCACGTATGAATAAAATACACAAAAATATTTACTTATGAGTGAAATATGCAAAAATATGTACTTAATGAGTAAAATATGTAAAAATGCTATAATATATACTCAAAATGTATAATTTCTTATGGAACAAATTTATGACTAATAATTAATTTTTTTATCAATCAATTTTTTAATCAATCAAAAAAATATGTTCTAGCTAGGAAAATTAAAAATATTTTTACATTTCCTAATCATATTTCAGATGACATATTCTCGAATGTGTCTACATAAGAAAAATTTCAATGTTATTAATACATATATAATTATGTATACAAGAATGATCATGATGTAACAGGATACATAATACAAATATTATAAAAAAAAATCACTTTAAAGGAGCACAGTTTTTATAGACTGCAAGCAGCAGTCATTATAATGTCCCTATAAAAGCCTACCGGCATCATTAAGTTTCGCAATCGTTCCAAAAACGCAAAATGCAATGTCTTATTTTCAACCGGAATACATTAAGAGCTGTGCAATTATTCTCGATATTATTGTCTGAAAAAATTTTGCTAGAAATGTTTATCAAAAAGATATGTCCAGAGATATGATCCAAGGAAATATATTCAGAGATCATATATTCAGAGAGATGTTCTCATTTTCACATATTAAATTTTGAATTATCAGACACCTTTTGATATGTAAATTAATCGCCAATTAAAACAAATAAACAAAGAAATGAGAATTAAACATTTCTTTTTAGTAATTATACGCTATCGAAATATATAACACATTGTGTAATGTTTCAATAATATTAGCCTGGAATCAGAATATATTGTTGGTGCGAAGACATAATTCTCGTCCGAGGAAATAGAAGTGATAACTAAATTAGAACCCCAAAGAGCGCTAATCATTTTCTATCTGTTATCTAGGAAGATGGCAATCTTTATGGAAATTCGAAGAATATACACTGGGATAAGCAAACTTTAGTGTTCTAAAACATTTATAGGAAAATTTAATAAACACATACATAAAGTATATTTACATTTATACAAAGTGCTTTGGCTTTTATTGATTTACTATTACTAGTTATTATAATATAAATAAAGCAGTATTATAACATCTATCTTACTTCAAAAGTGATATTTAAAGATAAAATCAATGTGTTATCATATTATTTAAGTTTTAACACTTTTAACAGCATTTTCTGAATAAAGAAAAAAGCATTTATTTAATCAAATGTATTATATGTTCTATATCAAAGAGATTAACAAGATTTTCACAATTTATTATATAAGCAATTACAGCATATCTCTTCGTCCAACTCATTCTCCGAAGGTGACCGCGAAGAGAAGTAAAAACTCGTAATATAAAGTACGATTGCCGCCCGAGAAGTAAGTCATCGTTATCATTCGTGGAAGCAGATTATATCGAGTCCAGCGGAGGGAGCGAAGCTTCGGATATCGCGTATAACACAATCCGTTAAATACAATTGTTCTTTATTTTATTATTACTTGGTGTGTGATTCTTGCAGCCTATCTCTCTTGCCCTCCGACAATTTTCCCACCTTTGACGATCATCCCTGCCGTCGCAGGTTAATTGTAAGTAAAAGTAGAAAAGAATATTATTGAAAGATTGTGTACGCTCTTTCGTACCTGGCGCCCAATTTATTTAGCAAGAAGATCTGATATTTGTGGAAAATCCATCTGGCTGTCGAGATCTTCCATTTTTCTGGAACTAGAGTACTTTTAAGTAAGAGAAGATTTAAGAGTACGCGACGAAGTTGTGTCGTTGCTCGCAAGGAAACACGGTTACAAATTTGGCCAAATCATTTCTGAGAATCTAATAGAAACATGTCACTTATGTTATTTTCTAAACAGAAAGGAGCAATAGCGTTTCTGATCGATCGATCGCGATTTGCACCTTTAGTCGCGAATGTTCTTCGAGAACGAAGAGAAAAAATTATATACATTTATAACACTTCTATAGAGTATTTTTATAAGCTGATATATTATATAAAAGAGAGGGGTAATCGACGCTATTATACTGACCTTTGAGAAAAACACGGTATACATTGTACACGGCTTAGGAACGCATACATATATATATATATATATATATATTTAAGCATCCTCATTGTAGACATCCTCGAATTAGTACATTTATGATGTGTGTGTGTGTGTGTGTGTGTGTGTGTGTGTGTGTATGTTGTGTGCATATGTGTATGTGAGCATGTAGAAGAGAAATCGATAAGCATTATCTTCAGCGTTCCATCTCTCTCTAAATCTGAATCAGTGGATAATCACTAATATCAATGCCAAGTATGTCACTGGTAATCAGTGAATTAAATGTAAGATCTCTAACCTAGCTAATCTTTATTATGTAATTTAACTAACCTTGTTTTAGCTCTTAAATTCAATGAATATATAATAGTATTGGAAAATTGAAATTAACGCACAAATATCAATATTTTAGTTATATAATGCTCAAATTTCTTCCTTTTTTAGTTGAACTTCACTGATTATTAGTGCCAAATATACTGGGTAATTAGTGACTATCCACTAATTCAGATTTAGAAAGCTTCTTTGTCGAATCATGTACAAAAAAAAATCAAACCACTATAATTGCTTACAAGACACAACATATACAAAAACATCATACATATAGACCTAAATCTAAAAGTAAAAATACATATAAATAAATACAGAT